TTATTGTTAGAAATAGGGGCCTGACAATAGACAAGTGTGACTCCTGCCATTTTAATTACAGCTGTGACAGTGTGTGTAGATGGGGTCACATCTGCATTCGATTAGGTGTGGGAAAGTGCACGAAATGGAGCTTTAAACATACATTTGTAGACTCTCTTAACAGCTTTGTTCTAAAATAGCAACAAACTACAACTACTGATAAGTCTAGCTACTTTTTTGTTTTAGACCAATGTAAAAATGTCCCTTTTTTGTGTTTTAAGTGTTTCTTGCTTTTAATGTTTAGCTTAGTCCGATGTGTTTTCAGTGTTTTTACTATTTGATGCTGTTTTCGTTGCTTTTATGATTTTATGTAAAGTGTCTTTGAGTATTCAGAAATGTGCTTACAAATAAAATGCATTATTATTATTATTATTATTATTATTATTAAATAAACTGGCTTCAGCCAATAGTTACTTTCCCTGGAAAAAGGGTAAGCAGTGCTTTGTGTTGGTGTATCATGGAGTAAATGCTCCAAAGAGAAGAACATCTAAGCATATAGATTTATCTGGAGGTGATAAATTGAAAGGTTGTACAGAAATGTGGGCACATAATCAGTGAGTGTAGGCACACAAGAACACTCATGTACGAACACACCTACAAAGATACAGAAAATTCTTCTCCAAAGTGGCAAGATGAAGGCTCACAAGAGGCCTCTGGAGGGATTTCCTCACACCCAGTAAATCATATCTGACGTGTACCAGACTAACCCAGAATAATTTATCAATAATCACCTCATTAGCTTGTGCACATTGTTCATAGCCTCCTCACTCCTCTGCCGAGCTCTACTCGCTCACTTTTTGGTGCCTGATGTTTTACTACTCACACACTGTCACACACATCTGATTAGGTCACACAAATATCTGTATCAGTGTATGATTTCAGACCTACACAAGAATTCCTGGAATCATCCGGTGGTAAATTATTTTCTATTCAAGTAATATTTTAATCCATTTCACAATGTCAACAAAATCTGAACTACCTCAACCAGCCTGTCTTGTGGCCGCAGCCCAGCACGATCTGCGGGTGATCCTGGGTCTAGGGAGCGGATGTACTGTCCGGGTCGGGATCGATCACTGTGGAGATTGAAGCCGTAGCCCATGTCTGATCGTGCCAGGTGGCACAGACGTGGAACGAGCTCGGACGGGTCTACCTGGGGCCGTAACTGGGACTGGGCCTGGGTTTGGGCTTCAGCCTGGGCAAGAGCCTCCTGGAAGAGATGAGAGAAGTGTGTGATATCGCAATGTGTCAACAAACTGCTCCACATACAGTATTTTCAACACTCTTGATGGCTGGATTTGGAGAAACACAAATGTCACTTGTATGACTCAAATGAAGCAGTGTGCTCAGAAACATTGCACAACATTACCCCTTATAAAAGTCAGACCTTTTATGAACTACTGTTTCAAATATTTATTAATGTGAAACATTAGTTTTAAAGACAACAAAACAAGGTCTTGCAATGCAAGGTCAAGAGGACAAATATATATATATATATATATAAATACATTATAATAATAGTAATGATAGAAATAAAATGAGTAGAGTCACACAATGAGAATATAGGTAAAATTTAAAACTATAAATGCAGACGTTCATCCATAATGACCGACATTACAGTACTTATATGCCGACTTGGTGTCGGCATATAAGTACTTGGGTGTCACAATAGACAACAAACTGGACTGGTCCACAAACTCAGAGGCCATCTACAAGAAGGGCCTGAGCTGGCTTTACTTCCTGAGGAGGCTCAGGTCTTTCAATGTCTGCAACAGGATGTTGCAGATGTTCTATCAGTCTGTTGTGGTGAGCATCATCTTCTTTGCTGCGGTGTCCTGGGGTGCAGGCATCAAGGCAAAGGACGCCAAAAGACTGAACAAACTCATTAAAAAGGCAGAGTCTGTTGTTGGCTTGAAGCTTGTCACCCTGGAGGAGGTGGTGGAGGAGAGGATGCTGGCAGAACTGCTGGCAATCATGAACAATCCCTCCCACCCCCTCCACACAACACTGGAAAAGCTAAAGAGCAGCTTCAGCAACAGACTCATTCATCCCCGCTGCTCTAAGGAACGATATAGAAAATCGTTCCTCCCCTCTGCAATAAGACTTTCTAATAATAATTGACTCTGAATCAGCTGCTGTAACACTATAATTTCCCTTCGGGGATAAATAAAGTATTCTATCTATCTATCTATCTATCTATCTATCTATCTATCTATCTATCTATCTATCTATCTATCTATCTATCTATCTATCTATCTATAAGTTCATGATGGCAAACATATGAAGAAACCACAGGAGCTCCAAGGAAAGATGGAGACATTCTCAACCAGGAAAATTCACACAACAATATTGGTATTTACATTATTTAAAAGCCCATAAAATGGTGCAGCATACATAGAAAGATTGGAGCGGTGAGAGATTCATTCTGCTCTCTGCAGAGTTGTGTGAACACAGCAGGTGACTGAAAACACACAGCTGAGTCATTTAGAACAACCACCTTTCAAGCCTGTAGGGTGAATGTTTTATACAAAAAACTGTGGGTGGAGTGTCAATTCAAGGCACTAATAATTATTATATTGTAAAGGAATGCAATTTTACCACATTCAGTGTATTATATTGAGTGAGTGAATGCGATAAAATAATAGTTACATGGAAACAATCTCTTTGTTGGTTACAGATGTACCCTCCTTTTTAATGTTTTCATTTTGTGCTGTCATTACATTGTGAAATAGATGCCACGCTTTATTACAGAGGGTATTTCACTCTGGAGTGAAGCTGTCCATTTTCAACGCATCACTGACACTTCTAACAGCCTGGATGAAGACATTTATAGAACCTGTATAATTGTGCCTTGAGCTCTACAGTGTGATCACACTGATTTACCACCTACACAGCGGGCAAAGAATGTGCAGCGAGAGGGATGATAGCACTGTGGCCGGCTCTGTAACCTCAGCTGGTATTAGATATTAGAGGTAACAGACAGGTAGAGTTGATGTTTGGTGACCAAATATGCATCTACATACATTACCCATGTTTTGTGCATGGGACAGACCCGCAATCACATTACGCAAGCATGAGAAGTCTAATGTTTCCACTGCATATGTGAAGCTTCCATCATGGTCCAGCTTGTTCCTGCTAAAAATACATATGGAGTATGTGGGAAGGGTGAGAGAGAGCAAAAAAGAGAGACAAAGGTACTGTGGTGTGTAGAGAGGAAAAGATGGTTGCTGATTTATTCTGACAGAAAGAAAGAGGATGGCTTTTTTTAAAGATTTTTAAAAGAAAACTTATTAAAATGCATCTTAGGATTCATCACCACAACAGTGCCTCCTTTCTACCCCTCGACTGTAAAATAACACAGATGGCAATGTATAATTTTATTTCAGGCACTGAATTCTTTAGGATAGCAGGGATCTAGGCAGCTTGCCATGAGAAGGAGAGAGAGACAGAAAGAGAAGGTTAGAGAGAGTAACAACAACTCTCATGAAAACCTCCTTTTCCTGGCTGGAGAGGAAGTGCCTGGGCCGAGCAGCGAGCGCAGATCTTACAAAGGAGAGCAAAATACATCTGAAATCAAATATATTAGCATCCTGGGATCTGGGCGTAAGAAGAAAAACGGCAGAAAGAGGGAGAGGAGAAAGGGAACAAGCATTAGAGGGAGCGAGCGCGTGGGAGGGATAGAAAATGAGATGCAGGGAGAGGGTTGAGAAAGAGAGTTCAAGAAAAGAAACAAGTTGAGCAGAGATAAACAGATAAACACGGAGAGCGGGGCGGGTACAAGAAAGATCAAGATGACAGAAGTTTCCAGCGAGCGACGATGGGGAGGGAAAGAGTTTGCAGTGAAACTCCTCTAACATAAACAGTGAGAGTAGCACAGCTGGGAGTCATTATGTGGGGGAGACGCAAGTGTCTGCCAATCTAGCCTCGGACTGCCTTTCAATGCGTGTCTGCACCCCACTAATCACCCCCCGGGGGCCCGTGCCATCTCTTAACATCTTTGACATCTTTTGACATTGGTCAGGCCTTTAGTCAGTTTCGACAACGCAACCCTGCGTGCGTCCCCCGCTGTTCACCAACGGTGGATGGATGCAGATGTTTGACTTGTGTGTGAAAGTGTAAAGGACAAAGACTCCTGGTTGGAAAAATGTCAGCAACAAGAGGTCTGAAGCACACAACCCCTCCAAGCCGAGAGGCCATCAAGCGAAATGCGGTCGCCGTGTTTGTTTGAACTGTGGGTGTTGAAAACTTCATGGTTTTTGGGAAAAATATTTTGACGAGAGAGAGAGAAAAATGAGATGTAATGTTTTCCCCCTTTGTCAGCAAACTAGTTTGTAATCAGGAAAGCGGTTAGTTATCAGCATTGGACATTTTTTTGTTTCCAATGGGAGGAGAAGTGGTAGGAACTACTGGGAAAACACAGCATCCATGTTTTGTTCCACGAGCGTGAATGTAACTGCTCAAAACAAGTTGACATGGAAAGTTCAGCAATAAATCAGGGTGTTTTTCTATAAGGGGACACAATATGGAATATTTCACACCCACAGCAGAACATTATGGAGTTTGCTCCCCCAACACAACACAACACACACCCGTCCTGACCTCCGCGTCCTGACTGTGGCACACAGAGAGGATGTGCCGTTGAAGGGACAAGTGCCATCCCATGAATTCCTTCAGTTTCCTGTGACAATCAGCCCTTGTTTCTATCAGTCTGTGAGTACATGTGGGGGAGAGAACCATGTACACACAAGACTTGTGTTTGTCTCTGTGGTTGGGTTATGCAGTTATGATTACATTAGAAATTAGACTACTTTTTTTCTCCCACAAAATCTATTGGAACATGAATAGAAATTTGAGCTGAATACACTAAACACCGCCTCCCTTAGTTACTGTTGCTATGCCAACCATAGCTTTCAGTTTTCAAACAGGACATAAGCGATTAAATGATAACAGAGGCAGATTTACCATTTTAAATTTTTGGTAATGGTATTTACAAAGGTACACAGGGGCAGGGTTTTCACTTCTAGCCGGCGGCTGTCAATTTTGTCGTCTGAAGATTTTTGCAGGTATGTAAGGCTAACATATGTAGCAATACATATGTGTATAAAGACAGAAAATCTGCATGTTTCTGGGAAAATGTCAGCAGCATCTATCATTGAAGACTCATTTGGGAAATGAATAAGCATTGCTCGTAGATTTGCTTTGCTTTGGGTGTTTGACAGACTGTCTGACTTAACAGCACATAGGCCTATTAAACAACAGTTGACATGTAGTTTCACACACACAGATTTATATATAAAAAACATGCACACCAAGAATACTGCAGCGTACAGCTAGTTAGACCTAGTATGATATTATTTCAATCTAATATAACCCTGTTTACATTTACTTTTGTCAAAAGCGACATAAATGAGGCGCAAGCCAGGCCACAAGTGTGCTGCTGAGCTTACATATTTAGACAAGAAATAGTTTAGATCATTGACGGTATGGGTCAGACTTATGCACTTTTAATGTTACAAGAGAGGTACAAGTACGAGTATATAAGCACTCTGTTTAATCCATTCATTACACGTTTGCCCTCGTGTTTTTGGTAAACGGCTTAAATATATATATATATGTACTTTATATATAAAGGAAACCTTTATATACAAAGTACTAGCCTATTGTTTTTAGCCCCATGCATACCGTTTCAATAAACTGTCACAGTTGATTGGACAATCACTGCTCAGCAGAGGGGTTCAACCAACAGTTACTTACAAATGTTGTCTTTATGATGGAAAATCAACACTGTGTGTTTATTAATGGATCATAAATGGAAAATCAGGTGGCATGGTGAGATGATAGAGTTCAGGACAAGCTTGAATGTTGCTTTTTCTGAAACTGATTTGACACATTTTCTTTTCAATTATAAATGTAGCAGTAGTGTGTTTGACACTGTTTCTGTGAGTCCTAATGGGACCAGTCTGATGTGTAGGTGTATGAACGCTGAGAATGAGAACAAACCAGTTTACACATTTAATTTGCGTATTTGCACACACATAGTTCTCTCTGCATGCGGCTGCTGGCAGTTGTGCTGGCAGTTGATGAAACTAGATCGCAGCTTGTTGAATAATTGAGCAGTGGCCTACTGCGATGGATGGATCATGACCGCTGTTAACCCTTTCACAGCCAAGGATCATTGGCTCGCTTGCTGGCCCACAACACAATGAAGTGTGTTTGGGCATGTGTGTGTTTGCGTGTGTGTCTTTGAGTTGCTTGCTACAAAGAAACTTTCAATCCAGTGTGTGTGTGTATGCGTGCGTGCAAGGCATTTTGTCAACAATGCTTTCACTTGCTTGCTTCCCATCGGGGATTATCGTTAACTTAATATCCCCATTCTAATAAGTCAGTAGGTCAAGTTTCCTTTAAGCCCTCGGTCAAAAGTATGCAGTTTATCCTGCCGAGTTTGGTTGGCTTAATGCAGATGTGACTTCGAGTGCCAGCATATATTATTAGGTAGATAGATAGATACCTTTCCCGAGGGAAATTCAATTCAATTTTTAGGAACAATTTTTCCGTTTAATGTGTGTGTACTGCAAAAACTCTCCCACTGACGTTCCATAACTCGATCTTCCATGACTTAAAAACTGTATCCCAGTTTGTTAATGTTATTCCTCGGCTTGGAAAAATTCTGCTGGAGTTGACAGCCGGTTTCCAGCCGGGCTTGCAATGTAGAAATTACCATAAGCCTACAGTGTTCAAAACTGCAGAAAACATTGACATCTGCTGCAATAAAATGTCAATAAAGTTGGAGGATACATTGTAGTGTAATGATCCAAAAGTTAGAATAAATAACCTTTTTATTACATTTTTACAAATAATACTATATACTGTACTCTGTATTGCTGCTCCTAAAGGTCAACTTTTTGCCTGGACCATGAAGCTTTAGCCTCAATCTTTGATTTAATTTAATTCATTTTGCGTATATAGCCTTCAAGCACATATTCTAGACTTTTAATTGGAAACCAAATCAGCTAGAAACACTATAATAGTAAAGAGGTGATAGAGCCTTTAAGTTTCAGTGTTAGCATTAGCTCATGCTAGTCTGCGTTTATTTACTTTTGTGTGAAATCAACGACCCATTGTTTAAAAAATTACAAGAATTTTGCCCCGCCCTGCTTTGTTACTGTTGACAGTGACAGTAATGAACAGTCACTTTGCTGATTTGAGCAATGCTGTGTGTGCATCTGATTTTTACAGTGCAATTAGCTTGTTTTATTCCATGTTACATTTTTGTTGATATTATATGTGAATAATGAAGTTGTGGGGGCACATCAAACATATCGGTACTGCAATGTTAATAAAAAAAAGATTACATCTGTGCATTTAGACTAACAAGATGATTGAAATCCCCACAAAGGGACATTTCCTGGAAGCAGCAGAGAAGCCTGCTGGCCTACAGCCTGCGTTACCTCTATGACACCTACACAATCTAATTAAGCATGATGCACTGAATGGAAATGTTGCTGACGTTGCATGATGCCGGAAAAGTGCCAACAACAGTCGCACGTGGGGCTTTTGCTGATGTCATGGTTGACAACCAGTTGCCATGAGGACAGTGTAACCAGTAAAGCCAGTTTCATCTGTCAAAGAGAAGAGCTGTAGCCTTTTTTGAGTTTTCAAAAGAAACACATGGACAACATCTTATCTCTAGATTTCATGGAGATTTAAATCTTTTGATTTGATTGAGTTCTGTGTCTAGTGACATTTCTCAGTGTCTGCTTGACAGCATGAAGCACAGGCTTCATAGCTTTTCAAAAGTGTTAGCAAAGCCCATATGAGGATCATTTAAAAAGGGCTTTACCAAATTAAGAAAATTGCTGTGTGTCAGAACTTCTGGCCATGACAGCTCTGCCCTGAAACTATTAGTGTGCATGTGTGTGTGTGTGTGTGTGTGTGTGTGTGTGTGCGCGCGCGTATGGTGTTTTCTGGCCCACATGCAGCTGCTTTAAGTGTTGCTCAATCAGAGAGGAAAAAAGATCTGATCTACCCAGTTCACTGTGGGCGAGAAAGAGAGAGGAGTGGGAAGGGAACAAGAGTGAAAGGAAATGACAGGCAGCTGGAGAAGAGCAGAGAGGGATTTGGAGCTTGTAAAAATGAAAATGTAGGAAAGGGGATAGGGGATACAAAGCAACAGGAGTGAGCAACGGAAGAGAGAAGCATCAAGTGAAAAAGGGCCAACAGAGTAGGAGATGATGCACAGCATGTGGAGGACAGGAAGAAAGGCAGCGTTAGACAGAGGAGAGAGAACATGAGAACACGAGGACTGGCCAGAGATCTCGATAACCAACAGTTTTCCCCACTGGTGTTGTGATGTATTGCGTAACAGCTCTGTGATACGAATGATAGCTTTGTGTGTTTTTGTGTCCAGTGCTGCTCTACCAGGACAGGACCTGCTAAGATCTGTTTACAATGTCCCCCGCTCTGCTGCAATGTGTGTGTGTGTGTGTGTGTGTATGTGTGTGTGTGTGTGTGTTTGTGTGTGTGTGCGCGAATGTGTGCGTGTGTGTGTGTGTGTGTGTGTGTGTGTGTGTGTGTGTGTGTGTGTGTTACCTGCTGTTTAAGTGTTTCCTGAGATCACAACTCGGGGGGGAGTAAAAGTAAGAGAGGTGTGTAAAAAAAAACAACAGTGAATGCACCTTCTGGAAAAAAAAGACGATAAAGTAAGGAGCCGACTCCAAGGAGGAGCAACATGATCACATTGGAAAATTGATATACTGTATAAGTCATGGATCAAGTTGTCATACTGAACTCTACTGGGCATAATTCTGGCTTGATGGATACTAAACGTTCAAGACGCAAAGTTGAACCCCGGCTATTTATAACCTAAATTTAGTGGCTTTAAAGAATAGTTTAACATTTTTCACGATAACTAGCCCCATCTGATAAATCTCAGAAAACTAAGGGTTCTTACAGTAAATATGAAGCTGGAGCCAGCAGCCGGTTGGCCAGTTAGTTCCAGCTACATATTTATTGTACCGAAATGTGAGTGGCATCAATCTTGTCATCTAAGTCTTGACAAGAAAGTGGAAAAGTGTATTTCTCAAAATGTCAAACTATTCCTTTTCACACAACAACAAAAAAAAATATGCACTTGGGAGAGTAAAGGAATGACCTGCAGTTAAAGTCAAGAGCTGAACTTCACTCACGAGTCACGGTTTATGACTCAACATGCGGTGCTATCATAATACTTCAGAGTCACATTTTCATATTCTGTATCAGCACTAATGAATATGGTGTCTTCATGATCAATTCGACCAAAGCAAAATGCTGCTTCTGAGTGAGAGTCTGTCGCTGTGTTGTGTTGCCAACATCTGCATTGTGCTGTTTATTATGCTTATGCTAGGCCAACGTCATGTCTTTATTTCACTGCCACAACCTTCATACAGGAATGTGCTGCAGGGATATTTACCAGCTGCGATAGTGTGGATGGCACTACCACAGACGTGTTTATCAGTACTTTGGTAGTGGTTTATATGTCTTTCTTTCGGACAGATTTTGTCAATACAATAGTGCCATAACTGTGGAAAATGCAGCTACTAAACTTCACAGGTGTGTACATGTGTTGACATCAAAATGAAGGCAGACTTTGAAGATACCTATGGTCTGACCCATCAGTATTCATGTAATAATGCAGAAATGTCTACTGAATACTCAGTCAGTGTTGACAGGCATCACAGATGGTATGATCCCATCACAAGATGGTCTCTAGCTCATCTAATAAACTTACTAACACTTTAACTTTAACAAGTTTATGAATGTCAGTTTACTTTAAATTGACAGAGGCAACAGAAATCAATGATAGCACAAAATGAAATTATGCTACCGGGGATACAGAAGAAAATGTATTTACTTCCTTGGGTTCAATAAACTATGAGTACAGCTGGCAAAAGAGCAAAAAAACCCCAACAACCTATTTATTAGCCTGTAATTGCATTGTAATGCTGAGGGAACTTTTGCAATACTGATCTATATATCTGATGAAGCAGGCACTGATGTTGGTGTTTGGTGTTAATTAACACCTCTT